TGGTCTGTAGCTACTGAAGAGGTCTATTATGTAATCTTCCAAATGAATCCACTTCTATTCTGTTAGCCCCTCAGACACATGACAAGATTTTGATGTCCAGTCTGCAAAAGAAACTGGAGTTGAAACTGATGCATTACATGGCCAGTAGCTGTCTTGATCCAGTCCTGGTTGGCTCAAGCTCTTGTGGTCTCCTTTTAAGTTCCTCAATGGGAAAGCCTCACCCAAAAGTTTCGGCCCTGCCACCTCCTGGCACTGTGACTTTCAGCAGCCTCAGTTTCCTCAACTGTGCAATGGGGATGTGACTACAAAAAGCCTCCCAATCAGGGTGGCTGGGGCTGTAATTCAGAAGAGGTAACTCCCTTGAAAGTGCCAAGCAGAAGTGAGAGTAGAGGCTCAAGAATTGTTAGCTTCCTTCCTCCCAGCTTTACAGGGCCAACGACAAAGTTGAAGGAGTACAGCATGGTAATATGCCATGCAAATGGGAGCAACGAGGAAGATGATTACAGAGCCCAGTTTTCTCTCAGGAGGCCCCTTACTCCAAGAAATCCAAGAAATGTGGTCTGCACACCTTTTTTAATTCCTACAAACCTATCCAACTAAGTGCTATTCTAGACTTTTTGCAACCCAGCTAATCCTTCTTCCCACAGTGGGGCTGTCAGCTCTCACTAGGAAAACACAGAAATGCCTGCAAGAATGGCAGGCCTGGAAAGGCAGAGAGCTCAGCCTGACAGTCTGGACTTAAATAAATTGTATTTTCTGGCTGGGGGCGATAAGGAGTAAATTTGGAGCGTGTGTTACACTTACACATCATTATGCCTTAAATGAGGAAGGAGAGCCTCATCTTGTCCCAAGCTTGTAGCAAAATTATGCTCTGTATAAATAGCTCTGCAACCTTTGATGTTGAGCAGAGAAGAAAATAATCATCAGAAAGCCAGGCAGGAGCAGCGGGCAAAAACATGCAACTAGTGGGTACTGTGCTTTTCCTGGGCTCCTTTGCTTGCACCTACAAAGGTATACTGATCCCTATCCTCTTTATTCCTAAGAGGACTGTTTCATGGAGAAGCAAACATAGATGCTTAGGTACAAACAAGTAAAGGGGAAATGGGGCAGGCCACAACTGAAAAAGGGAGTAGTACAAGCTGTCACCATGAGCTCCGGGCAGAACCAAGTAGGCTCAGCCAGTACCCAAGGGCACTCCCAGAAGTGGACAACCAGGTTCAGAGCAGCAGTACCTTGGGGTTCATTCATTCATTCTACAAAACAGACACTGTCTCTGCACTCTTAATGCTTATAGACCAGTGGAAGACATGTTTAGCAAATAATCTCGTAATACAGCCACCTCCTTGCACACTCTGATGTACACTGTGACAGAAAAATATAGGAGTCCTGAGGCTGGGAAACAAGAAGACCCAACTTAAGTAGAGGTAGAAGAGGAGTGGGACGGTCAGGCAAGACCTCTTAGAAGAGGTGGTTATCAAGCTGGGGCCTGAGAAGAGGTTGGGCAGGCAAAGTACGTGGGAAAAGCATTCTAGGCAGAAGAAACAGGATATAAAAAGGGGCTCGCTGACTACCTGGGGACAGAAGAAACTGATATGTGTAAAGGATCCAATACAGTAGGAAGGGAGATGGGCTGAACCACATAGGGCCTCATGAGAACCTGGGATTTGATCCCAATGCAACAGGAGGCCCCCAAAGGGCACACACCAGATACTCAGTGGTCCCTGAAATTAAAAGGCCCCGTACATGGAGGAATGGCTTGCTGGCCTCTGTTAATCACTCAATGATCAATTCACATTCAGATGGGAGGGACTGTAGCAATCCCCAAATCTTCCATCTCCTCCTGCAAGTAGAAAACTGAAGGAGGCTGGAATAAAGGAAGGACAATGAGCTGGACAAGGAGTTAGTGTCCCAGTTGCAGAAGTCTTTGCTATTATAGTTTTCAAAGGCAAGCCACTGCCTTTCTGTAAGTCTCTCCCTCTCCACCTTATCTATAAAGTAAGGTAAGTGAGTGAGAAGATCTTTCAGTTCTCACACTTTGTCATCGTCTTCAGAGGCTCAAGGAGGGTCCGTACCTTTCTTAGCACTGCCTGGCATGTGGTGACGCGGGTGGGATCATGAGTAACTTCGGGAGAAGATACCATATTCTAAGCCCAGCCCAATGTTCTGACGTTCAAGGATTGAATGGTGGGAGAGGAGAGACGATGGGAGTTGGAGTTTGCAATCATCTGATACCAAGCTGAAGTTTACTTTTGCTTAAAAACCTCTTTATGCAGATAGTCAAGTAAAAACTGTAAGCAGTTTTGGAGACAGGATATTTACAGTATCTATAAAGAAAAACTCCAGATGTATTCAACCCCTTGTAACGGATGTGCTAACTATAAAATGCTCTTCTCTACTCATTACAATGGTCCCCAAGAGCATCTCTCCAGCAGACAAGTTCATTAGCTAAGTTCAATTGCTATATGCAATAGTGATGATAAAACTCAGTTCTCTGAAAAACTATTTTTGCTTTGGACTTTGCCTCATTCCAGATGTTCTCCCTCACAATGAAGCGGAGAGAGTAAGACTCGGTTGTTCTGAAATAGTACAACTAGCCAGGAACTCGGAGCCATTTTATGTAGTGAAGAAAAACATAGAACCTGGTATTTTACTAGCCCTTCTTACAACTCCTAAAGGCAGACAGGAAGAAGGACAGAATGTAGTTTTTTGCATCTCCACAATCCTTTCACATCGTAGGAGTACATGCCTATGAATATTGACTGGCTGATAGAAAAAACAAGGCAGAGAACAGCAATATATACTTCCTTTGGCAAGTGGCCCAATGGCAAACACCTTTGTGACCCTCCCAGGACAGCCCACCCAGAAAGAGCACATGTGTAAGAATCAGAAAGACATGGATTTGAATCCTAGCTTCTCTACTTACTAGCTGTGTGATCTTAGGCAAGCAGTTACTTAACCTCTCCGGACCTTGATTTCCTACCCACCCATGATCACAGTTGTGAGGGTTAATAAGATAATATAGATGAGTGTTTAACACAGAGTAGAAGGCTCTCTTTCCTCCTTGCATCTAGTCATCAAGATCTGCATGAGCAAGGCAGTCCCAGCCCTCACACCTGCTGTGAACCAGCCCGCACTGAAGGCAGGGAAGCCCTGTGGCTTCCCCACAGTCTCCATGCTGTAAGATGGGACCCTGTGGGCAGAGAAGTGGCCTGGATCTCAGTGCTGCAGGAATCCAATACAGTTAGCCTGGATCCCTTCCAACCCAATTTCGCTGGATGTAATTTGGCTTCAACTAGAAATTCCAAGGCAGTTATATAATCATAATAACCCATAGCATTTGTAGAAAAGCTATTATAGTTTTCAAAGTCATTTTGCCTGCATTACCTCATTTGACCCTCTCAATAACCTTGATAGGTGACAAAGATAAGGACTAAAACCCCCACTTCATAGATGGAGAAACTGAGGCTTGCAGGACTTATTCCACTCACCCAAGGTCACGTGACTAGTAAGTAAGAAAGTCAAAACTTGGACAAAGATCTTTCTGGCCCTAGACTTTTTCCACACCAATGTACTGCATCTTTATAAGCACGCTTTCATCAAGCAAAGTGGTCTTAGTTATGTGGCAGCAACATACTAAGTGCTGGGGTTTGCAAATGAAAGACAGTGTGAGAACCAGCTATTCAGTGTTATGCAGTAGGTGTTACAGTCAAGGAACAAGAGAAGCCAAAACAGGGCGGTGGGGTGGGGTAGCCCAGGTTGAGCTAGGGTTTCAGAAAGGTTTCCTGGAGGAAGAGGTGCTTAAATCCAGTCTTAAAGAATAGTTAGAGGTTGTCCAAACAGAGACCTATAGAAGGTGTTTGGGCAGAGTGAGAAATGAGAGGCGATAGCAAGTAGAAAGCCAGTAGTGTGTGAGCCAGCTGGGTATGTCCCAGAATGCTGCAAGTTCTCTGGTCAGACTCTACCTACTCACTCACTCACCTACTCAGCATACATTTACGGAGCACCCCATGAACCAGGCATGGTGCTGGCCATCAACAAAAGGTGTATAAAGAAGCAGATACAGTCCCTGAGCCCATGGGATGAGCATCTGGCAGATGATTGTGGGCTCCGGCAGTAAGCAGGAGGGTAGAAAGTGGGAGGAGTAGGCAGAGAGGGCATCACAGGAGGCAGGGCATGCAGGCTGTCGGTTTTAGCCAAAAGGTAATAAGAGAGCCCCTGGCAGATTAGCACAGGATTAATGTGATCAGGCTTGCAGTTTGGAAAGAGTTAGCTTAGAGGATGAGCTGGGCCAAGTTGTCTGGAATCCAGGAGATCTGCTAGAAAACCACCAGAGTAGGCCAGGCAAGAAACGCTTGGGTCCTAAATTAAAGAAGTATACAGGACAAAAGGCCAAATTCAAGGTAGCTGTAAAATGTTGGCAGGCACTGCTGGTCGATTACCCATGGGGTAAGGAAGAGGAAAAGTGGACAGTATGACTTCAGGGGTCTGGCCTGAGCCCCTGGCACCTGGTGATGCTGCTGTTGGGTGGGGAATGTGACAGAAATATCTGACGGAGTAAAGAAACCAAGGCAGATTTGTCCCTTTGGGACACACTGAGCTACGATGTCTGTGGGACCCTGGGAAGATGCTTATCAGACAGTGGGATCTGTTTTTCCTTAACCAGAAGAAAGCTATAGCTGGAAATGTAGGTGGAGGATCAGAAGTTTACAGATGATATTCAATGCTTGGAAATGGACTGGACTTCCTGGGGGCATGTGCAGAGGGAGAAGAGACCAGATCCCATTGAAAAACCCCAAAAGTGTCCTTACCGTTCTTCGATGACATAACCCTCTTGGCAAAAGTCCAGCCAACAGTAGGAGTGAGGAATCACTGGTCCTCAGGAAGGGTTGACTGTGGTGGGCTGTGGGGACTCTGGTCTGCTGTGGGACTTCTGGGTCTCACCGATCCCTGGAGCCCAGTGTGAAGTCAACATGTGCTTCTCTCTCTCTTCTCTCCTTCAGGTGTTTACAAAATATGGGAAGTGTTACATGTTTAACTCAGGCGAGGATGGCAAGCCTCTGCTCACCACGGTCAAGGGGGGGACAGGCAACGGGCTGGAGATCATGCTGGACATTCAGCAAGATGAGTACCTGCCCATCTGGGGAGAGACAGGTGAGCTGGGCCCAGGGACTGGGACACGGGGAGGGGCAACGGGTGCGCAGGCCCTACTCAGAAAGGCTGTGTGGCCCAGGTGGGCTGTCTTGGCCCATCCTAGAAAGTTTGCTCTCCAGCAAGGGACTGAGAGCATGTCAGCAAATGCTGAAAGTGCCCTGGAAATGGCTGTGAGGCTCTGGGTTTCCTTAGAGTTCGCTGGGTAGGGGAGGGGCAGGTACTGATCCTGGAAAGGCGAGGTAGGCAGGGTGAGGGGAGGTAATAGAGAGGGGCCGTACAGCAGGTGTGGCTGAGTGTGAATAGCTTGATTTCAGAAGAAGTGGGATAAAGCAGCCTCTTCCTCTTCCAGCCATCCCAAATACTCACCCCAGCTAGGGAGTCCAATCAAAATGAGAGCAGGATCCTGCTCACTGGGGAAGGCGGAGGGACTGTGAAGTGTTGAGAAGCCAAAGGACGTGGTCTTGGGGAATCAGCACCATGGTTGAGCAACCCCCTGGCAGACTTTTCTTATTCCACAAACTATTCATTAACCATGGCTTCTCCCTAAAGTGAGGATGTTAAAGTGAAAAAGATCAAGTTCTTATTCACAGTCTAGTGAAGGAAACACCCTATTAGGTTGAGGGAAAGTGTTTTAGTGTGGGGAGCATTTGAATGAGGTCATGATCTTGTCCTTGATGATCTGATGGTCCTGATGTCATGACAAGTGTCCTCACAAGAGGGCACAGGACGGTCAGATAGAAGAGAAGGCAATGTGCTAGAGGCAGAAATTGTGGAGTGTTGCAGCCATAAGCCAAGGAATGCCGGGAACCTGGAGAGTTTCAGCAGGAAAAGAAGGTCAAGACGTGCCCAAGAATGAAAACTATGGGTGCCAACAAGACCTGAAATAAAAGTCCTGCTGCACTTGGGGCATAGCAGGAAGAATAACAGAGGCTGGCCAAGAGATGAGCCTGGGAGGGACCAGAGCGGAGAGGCAAAAATCCAAAGGAGGGAGGCCCTGGACTCTCACCTGCGATTCTTCCAAAGGAAGAGGAATCTGAGATCTGGCCTTATTGTGGCCATGTTGCCTGGCTGCTGAGACAGCGAGAGCTCCCACCCAGCAGATGCTGACAGCCAGCTCCCCACTCTCTCCCCACCAGCATACTCTCCACTGCCTCCCAGCAACTCATGCTTGAGCACCCTGATGGCAAGAGGTGAGCATGCCCACTGACCTCACATGATGCCGAGTACTCAGTCCCTTCAGCTGAAAAATAAAACGACCTCCACGTGTCACCGCAGCGATGCCTTGTGGCAACTTTCCCTCTGGCTCCAGGGCACTCCAAGCCCCATGCGTGCCTGCTGAGGAGATGCTCCACTGATCCTGTCTACTTTTCTGAATTAAATGCCCTCCTCTCCCACCCCAGATGAAGGGGGATGAAGGTTTATGTTTGTTCCAAGCTCAGCATCCCCTAGAGCTGGTGGACAGAGCCTGGCTTCCCAGGACATGCTGAGACCAGGCTGTATCTCGTGATCGTTGGGTTTAGAAAAAAAGCCTGTGACCTGGAAGTTTGAGTCCCCAAAAAAAGAGGCCCTTCTTACAAATGCCAAAATATATTTTCCTATTCAGTAACTTATGGGAAAGAGAGAAATAAGGAAAGAAAGTGGAGATCCCTCACCCAAGACCGAAGCAGAAGTTAGTTAATGTCCTTCCGTGGTAATGTTGGATTTTCCAACCTGCTACCTCAATTCAAGAGCAAACAATTGCTTCCAGGCAATCAGTCAGTCCAACAGGACCATGAGCTCTACCAATTCAGGACAAATTCAAAATGGAGATGAAAGACATTCCATGAACCCAACTCTGTGCAGGACATAGTCATAAATGTGGAAGCAAGAGACCAAAGCCCTGCCTCTCAGCAGCATGTTATCCTGTTAGGAAGTCAGACACATACACTGAATCTACAACAGAACCCCATCTCCCTCCTACTTGGAGCTTGAGCTCTCCCTGAGTGATAGACCAGCTGTCCCTTAAACCGTTTCCCTTGAGGCCCCAGGAGTAGCTGGGGAAGCAGACTGCCTGAAGAAGGGTGGATATAAAGCAGGGAGACGGGGGTGGGGAACAGAGGAAACTAGAGAAAAGAAACTAATCAGTGCTGTACAAGAGAACCTTCTGGAATCATGGAAATTTCCCTGTGTTGTCCAATACACTGAGCCATGCTGAGGGAGCATGAGAAACTGTATTTTTATTAACCGAAAGTAAAACAGCTCCAAGGGGCTAGTGGCTACCACGTTGAAGGCGGGTAGCAGAATGGGACACAGCTTCACAAAGCTCCATTTGGCTTCTTGGTTGTTTGCCTTCGCAGCCACATCCCACTTCCTTCCAGGGCTGTGAAATTCCTCTTTCTTGGTGTGCCCCTCACCGTGGTCCAAGTAGCAGGCACAGCTCCTTGATCCCACCGAAGAAACTAAATCTAAGTCTCTTCCCCCACCCCACCCCCAGCTAGAACATGTAGATTCTTACATGACGGCTTCCTCCACTGTACATTTCTTCAGGATGAGAAGCCACCTGGCAACGACCTACACCTTGGAGATTCTCGTTACCTCAAAGTTGCTTAGTTGTTAGGCTAGCAGGGAAGGGGTGGGTCTCGTGGTGGTGAGAGTAAAGCCAGCACAACTATGGGAGGATGATAGGTGGGCTTCAACAGGGGAGGGAGGCTGTCTGTGAAGCCATCTAAGAGATATGGGTACATCTAACTGCTTGGTCACAGTCCTGAGGCCTGTGAGCACTTCCTGTCTGGCCCTGCCACAGTCGGCAGGAGGCAGCCCTCCTGACCTGCAGAGCCATGTGGCCCTGTAGACACCATCTTGCTTCCTTAACAGCCCCGCCTTTCAATCCCCAAAAGAAGGAGATAGTTGAGTGATGAAGAAGAAAGGAATTGAAATGTGGCTGCTGAGGGAGAGGGCGCTGGTAGCTTGATGACAAAACAACACGATAGGATCAAGAAAATGGCATAACAGGATCAGGCAGACACAAAAGCAAACCCAGCTCTTCTTTTCACACCTATGTGACTAAGAACAAATATATGAACATCAATTTCCTCATCTAGTAAGTGCAGATGAATTAAACAAACAAAACAGGACGGCTGAAAGGGTCCGATGAGAGCTCTCGGCAAACTGTGCGCAAGGGAAGGTGAAGATGACATCCAGGGGGTAGAAAGGTAGTCCAAAAACCCCAGAGGCAGAGGAGATTCCAAATATCCCACACCTGCCACAGGGGTCGGGAGCCATCTAATTGTCTGGATGCCCCTGCTGTGCTCAAAGAGAGCTTCTAGTGCAGCCTTGAATTGTGGATAGATTCACCTTTCAGAGGGTTAAGGCACAGTGTGGGACCCACTCCACTAGGTATAATTCCAGTAGTAAGCGAGCAGGACCTTTGAGGAAGGTGGCAATGGTCTGAAAAGTCACTGTCAATGATAAGGCACCAATGAGCAAGTTAAAATAAAAAAAGCATACCGAATGAGTAGGAGGCAACTTTATGAAAATTCTCATATCCCCTCCTCCAGGCTGATAATGCCCCCATCAGGGGACCCCATTGCTCAAACATATCTGTGCAGGGCACCCAATAGCAATGCCATTTTTAAAAGCAATGGGCTTATTTTCTCAGCCTGCCCAAAAGGGACCCTGTGGAGAAGCAGGAGTTTGGAATAGTACATGTTACATGAATAAAAAGGATCTGGGGTCCAAAAGAAACTAAAACCCTGGTTAAACAGCATTACCCACATTTATTCATTGCAGGAGTTCTTTAATATGCTACATTATGAATCTCCAAGATAGAAATATTGCACGCAGCATTTATTTTCCAAATGCACTTGGTCATGGAAACCTTTTCCATGGAAGAGCTCACAAAATACACTTTCAGAAAAGCTGTGCTAGCCCACAGAAGTATAGATTTCATGGCCAGAGTTTTCCAAAGGAAATTAAATTGAAGACAGGTGGGAGGTTGTTAAAAATGAAACTCTGTACAGATACCTCTGAGTAACTTCAAAGATAAAAGGAATAGGCAGTGGGTTATCTGGGTTGCACATGAGAGGAACCTGAATCAAACAAGCTTAGGCATGAAAAGGATTGTTTTGCCCTTGGAAGCCAAGGGAGGCTTCAGCAACCAGCCACAGAAGCGGGTGGGATGCAGCCCAGAGATGACTGGAACCAGGGGAACCAAGGCACCTGTGCCCTGGGCTCTCTTGCCATAACCGACCCAACCGCCTTCATTCTCTGTCACTAGAGACAGGCTTTGTGCATACTTACACACACACAACTCCCAACAGATGCTGAGCTGTTTTATTTTCCCCCGGTACTAAGGATTGAACCCAAGGCCTTCACACAAGCTATATCTCCAGCTCTGTTCAACTTTATTTTGACACAGGGTCTCAGCAAATGCCCCGAGTGAACTGAAACTCGACATCCTACTACTTCCCTCTCCCAGAGTGCTGAGACTTTAACAAACTCTAATTCTAAATGGATACATCCAGACCTTGGAAAGACCATGAGTAGGGCCCTCCCTTTCCCTTCTCCCCCTATCATTCATTTCCATGCAAAATGTACTTTTTTAAATCAAATGTGAGTCCCCTTACTTTTGCCAAATCCTAGAGTTAGGTATACATGAATGTAGTGTTCGATACATTTTGAGCAAATAAATTATTTTTTTAAATCTTTGCTTCAGTGGAAGTAAAGATCTGTCTCCATTACCCTCAAGGTCTCTGTCACCTCCTACCATCCCTGTCGTTAACCTGGCTCTGACCATAGGGCTTTCCTGGTGCCGCTTCAGTTCTTGAGGGCTCTCTTCTTCTAGGGCGTCTGCCTTTGCTTTTCTTTTTGCTTAGAGACCCTTGCTGAGATATCCAAGTAGCTAAGTGCCTTCCCTGTCCAGTCTTCACTCCAACATCACATTGTGGATGAGGTCTCCTCGAACTGCCCTGTGTAAAACTGTGACCGCCCCACCACCCTAGTTCCTTACCCCTCCTTATCTG